TATCAAGTGTCGTATCGAGTCTCGTATCAAGTGTTGTATCGAGTGTCATACTAAGAATTACAGTTAGCAAATATTTGATTGTGATCTTCGTGCTTATTAATGCTGGTCTCAGACCTTTCTCATGTGCACAGCTCTTTGGTTTGTTACTCTCCTTTTGCCTCCACATATCATCACACTGATGTTGTGCTTACAAAATATATTTTTTCTCTTTTTTGACTTTTTTTTTTAATTTTTAGGTTTGGTCTGTTCTTCTTCTTGCTCTAATAAATTAGAGCTTCATTTAATCAGGTAGTAGCGGAGAGTCATCCTCCACACTGTCTCTGAGTGCTAACCAATGACATGATATCTCACATGAGATTGTGTCTAACATTATTTTTACTGATTGACAAAACAGCTTCACTTCTTGTTCTGAATATAATTTGATATTGTTCTAAAACTGGATGGAAGGCTCTGTGTAATGTGCATTCCTTCAGGGAGTTCTGAGCCTTTAACTGATGGACGTTAGACTCAGCTTGCTTGAATATTTATGCATAAAAAGAATGATACTGTTATTATTATAAATATTGTATCCATTTAATCACCTTTTAGAGAATTAAATGCTGCAGTGCTTTGTCAGGCCATTTGAAGCGTGTAATATTTATCAAACCTAATGAACCCGCACACAGCTGAGAAAGATCTGCAATCTGTTCCCACACCTATGAGCAAGCTAGAACTCCATTAATTATCATAATACACTGATGAAATTAATCTGATGTCAACAGAGTGGTAGTGAAAGATCTATGATCTCTGTTCCCATGTGATTCAAGGTTTCTTGACAGCCTTAGAGAAAATAGAAAAAAATCAAGTCCAAGGAGTGAGAGAAATGTGTTCATGATGAGCTGCAAAAAAGACCAGAGGGCCAGAATGAAGATAAAATTATCTGGGAGTCTCCTCTTTACTATACAGATGTAAATATAGATGCAACTGTCTGACACTATTCACTTAAAGAGAGGTTAAATAGTGTTTTGCGAAGGTAGCAGTGCGACATGTTGCTTCTCTTCCTCTCTTTTGTCTTGAGCTTCAAGTACCATCATCTGTTAGTCATAGAAAATATTTCACACTAACTGTACGTTGCAAACAGTGCTGGCCTTTAAGAGTTGTATACAATGTTGTGTGTATACATGTGTGTGTGTGTGTGTGTATATATATATATATATATAT